TCATTAAGAGTTTGCTTGGAAGAGATCATTTGAAAGGAAAAATGCTATTTTTTGGGAGAACGTCTAGTTAGAAAGTAGGGAAAAATTAGAGATTCACTGTGTAAAATTATTTTACTAGAATCATTGTAATTGAAAATGAATTTATAGAAAAATGATTTTTCAAATAAGTTGTGACGACAAACGCTCCAAGTTTTTTTTTTTAATACAATAGTTGGCACATTAACATACAATTTATTCAAAATCAGAATGGTAGATATTGTAGTAATTGTTGAATCGCCATTAATATACTATGCAATGAGAAGTAAGAATAAATATATATGAAAAAAAATTAAATAAAGCTCTTTGATTTCAATAAAAGGACTGATTCGACTGCATATAAAGAATTAGTTGCAATGCATCATTTATTTTAAGTAGGTTGATTTGGTCAACAAATTCATTTTTCATAAAATCATGCTACAGTGACAGACATAATAGTTAACATAATACCACGTGACGTTCTATCATTAGATTGTTTAAAACACAATCACATTTTCCATCCAATCACAAAATGCCACACACTCTTATGTCAAACAATCTGTCAAAATTTTTCTGTTAATGTGGCATTTTCCTTTTCATATAATTCTGACACCATTGGTTGAAATTGAGTCAAAGTATTCGATTGCACATCTTTCTATATAATTTACATTATCAGTTTAAGTGATAGTGGAGACTCATTTAATAGCGAATATCATTGATGCTATATAACATCAATGATGACAAGTGCATGACGTAGCAAAATGAATGATATGTTAAAAGCAACTCAAGTTGGGGGTGCCTGTGCACTAAAAATTGCAGCCTTAAGAGGCCACCAAGGTAAAATACATCGAAATCAAAGCCCTGAATTTGTCCGTGTAAAAAATTGCAGAAATCAAGCCGTTGATTGAGAGGCTAATTCTGAAAAGTTGAGTATATAATCGGCTACGAATTTCAATGTGTGCAGTGTGCGTGCGTGTGTGTGCGTGTATGTAAAAGAGGAAAAAAAGTAGATGAAATCCAGCTCATAGTTCTACAAGAACGACAGGAGCCCACGTTGCCAGTTCACGGACTTGTAATTAACTGCTGTCTCTAACGCTGGCAACAACCTAAGATAATCACTACGTGCCTCCTTATTCTCCATGTCCGAAACTTGTGTCAACACAGTTTTATGTTATCTACAAATTAGGCCCCTGTTTGGTTTATCAAAAATCAATTTTTTTCAAAATAAAATTAGTTAAGGGTGTTTTCAAGTTCCTTAATTAATATGAACTTTACAAGGAGAAATTAATATGTACAAAGGACATCCATGTTTTACAAGTGCTGCTGTGGCAGTTCCTGGTTGGTGTTTTTTTTTTAAAATGAAAAACTGTCAACTGTATCTATAAATAATCTGACAGAGCTTTATTCTGTACATGTAGAATTGTTCAATTTTCTTTTCTGGTTTCTTATTTATTTAAACAAAGGCAACTGAAGTAATTCAAGATGCTTAAGCAAAAATATTTAAGCAGGCCTTTTAAAAAAAAAAACAAATTCAAGGAGCAAATAATCACCAATAAAAATTCTGTTGATATGATAGATAATATATATTATAGAAATAATATCAGCTACAGTCATAGACAGTGCTCTGATTATTGCTGATTGAGAATTTATTGAAAAAAGTCTATTGTTCTCCACTTTTCATTTCTATAATTAGTAACTTATGGAATATTAAGACAGTAATTGTTATTTCATTATGGACAAAATTTTCTAACATTTTTTTGTATTATTGTTACTTTATTTTTTAGATGAACTTTCCAGTTCTATAATAAATTTATGAAAATTAATATTTATTTTTTACTTAACCCCTCACATAATTTTATGAAAGTAGTATTTAATCTCTTTAATAATTTTATTCGAAGACAGAATTTACCAGTAACTAAATTTTATTAAATTTTTTAAAATTATCGTCTGTAAAACTCCATTATTAATCTTAAATTAACGTTAGAAATATTTGTTTTGTCTATTTTTATCAGTTTGTTTGTGACAAGTCGTGTCGAAAAGTATAAGTGGACTAGAACATACAAATGCTTTCAAAATATATAAGTCAAAATCAATAATTAATTTTAACTACATCTGCATGTTTCATTAAATTTTATTAAAATTTGCTAAAAATCTGAATTGAATATCCACAAAACAGAGGCTATGTCATTTCTTTAATTTATTCTCTATCAGGAATCACACATTCACCTGTTTGTGTATATTCGCATATGCAAAACAGCATGAAACGAGCTTAATCCTCAATTAACATTGTCTAACATGTTTGATTGAGTTTAATACATAATTAACTTTGTTCAGAACGTTTGACTGGGAATATTCAAAGATGATAAGTAGACACGCTTTCCACTTTATCGTAGCCGACCACTGGCGTTTTCATCCATATGCTTTTGTTGTTTGATGATCTGGTTGGTTTAAAATATAGTTAAAGACTAGGTTTAATTAACTATTCTGCCAATTTGTTTTAGATGTTAGAACAGTGAGCTGTGTGACATCTAATGATTGGAAGGTTAGGAACATGGGTCATGTGGATATATGTACTAAATAAATGTATGCCCTCTTTTTTTGTCTTTTTTTTTTTTTTTTTGAAAAAACCGATTCATATATATAATCAGAATAGTAAGTTTGGGAAACAAGGAGGAGATTCCTCCAACACTATTCTCTCCTCAGAGAGTTTAAATGCTACTATTGCTAATGAATGTGCAACCACAAAAACCTTCCTATGTACATGACCAACAGACCAAGACTGTAAAAGACTCAGCACTGGACTTCTTTATTGCTGGTTCTAACTGGCAAAGAATTCACAAATCTGAAATCCACCGCATGTTGCTGGGCTCTGTTTAAGATTGTTGGTGAGTCATCAAATTTGTTTTCAAACACAAAGAAGTTACTCCTCTTCCAGATCAAATATAAGCGGAGGGAATGTAGGCCCTCTTTTTTGTTTAGATAAAAGTTGACTCTTTTTGTTAAGAGTGATGCTACACGTACATAATGAGATGTCCATAACGGTGACCATCCCTTCACATGGAGGGGACCTACTTCGAACAAAATATAAGATATCCAAAGTGGCCCCCTTCGAGTGAGAGGGTGGACATCGTTATGGACACGACATTATGTACAAGTAGCATAGTTCTTAAATAAAAGTTGATAAAATGTGTAATCGAAAATAAATTTGATCAGAAAAAATGAATTTTTAGAAAATAAAAGCCAAACATGAGCGTAACATAGATGACATTGGTTCATTGCTTTTATTCATATGAACCAATCAGTATGAAGGCAAGTGGGGGGAAATAGTCAAATAATATATACTTTTTCGATCCTTTACGCGTCCTTCTCAACCAACATGACCCTTTATTAATTTAATTCATTTAACATACATTTCGATTGTTAATAATTTAAAAATAGATAAAAACCAAGCTTAATCATGATAAAACATAGCCACAAGTGTCAAAATCACAAAATGGAAAACAAATGCATTGTGGCTTAATTTTGTTCACCAAGAACCATGTTTTAAGGTCGTTAAGATGATCAAATCATGGAATATGATTCTACATTTATAATGCAAGTGGGAAATCACAGATCATGAACATTGGTCAGTATTGATAGTTATGAGGACCCATTTGTCAGCTCAATTTTTGTGAGAGATAAGATATAAAAAATTTATCCAACTCAACTTTTTATGCAAAAATGAAGGGACAACTCTATATGCTTTCTATTCAATTAAAAATGGTTGAAGACTTGAGAAGGGTCACTGTTGATCGTGTCTTTGGATTTTTATCGAACATCAAAATATTGTCTCAAGGTATATCACTCGTTATCAGGGTTAACAGATCGCGTATCTAACTTGTAATCGTATTTTAAAATATTGTCTCAAAGTCATTGAACTTTAAAAATGCTCCTCATCCGTCACTCGTTACCATTCACTAGTGACAACCAATGAACGTTAAATTATCCCAACCAATTGTCACTTGATCATCAAAACATAATTTCAAAAAAAATAATAATCTAAAATAATAGTGTAAGAAGAATTACAACATGCGACAAAGACGACAAAAACTCAAAATCACCTGTGAAATCCATTTTTTTTCTGAGGTGACAACTGATTGAGATAATTTAACACTCATTGGGTGCTGCGTGTGAATTTCATCTACCATTTAACAATTCGTTAAGTTCAATAGTAACTAGTGATGGATTTTCAAATTTCAATGTCTTTGGAACAACATTTTAAAGTTTGGTTAGAAGCCAGAGACACAACATAAAGTTCAGTTAATGATGAAATAATTAGTCCATTTTAAAACATTTTTTAAGGATTAAGGACTAAAAGGTGAAAACAAGGGAAGAATCGAAATAAGAGAACAGAAATTAAGACAACCAAAGAAGAATTTGTTGAAATAAAATTATTTGATTGGATGGGATTGGAGCATATATTAATGTAGACAGTGAGGACAGAGTCAAGTGCTCTTAGTCACGCAGCTGTCATTCGGCATACAAACCCACAAATCCATCCCACCCCACCACACCCCCACTCCATAGTTACAGCAAATAAGAGTTTGCAACTGTCGGATCCCTCTCTCTCTCTCTCTATCTATATTTCTTCTTCCCTCTCTCTACAATTTTCCCATCATTTGCTTCTCTTCAAGAATCGTTCAATCAAAGCGTTGACAAAAGTCCATCTCTGTCTCATCCTCTTCAACCACCACTACCGCAAGTTGCGCCGCCGCGGGATGGAGGTGGGAGATAGAAGTTGAAGGGGAAAGTGATTGGTGGCATAAAATGCGAGTATGCGAGGAAAATTGTTTTGTGATTAAGGATATGCTGTATTCATTCTTTTGATGATTTGATTATATTATTTAGATGCCATGGCATATCAACATTATCGATCACCATTTGGTGACACGACTTTTACTAAGGTTTTTGTTGGAGGCCTTGCCTGGGAAACTCCTACTGATGTAATGCGAAGATATTTTGAACAGTTTGGTGAAATTCTTGAAGCTGTGATCATCACTGATAAGAACACTGGAAAGTCGAAAGGATACGGATTCGTAAGCACATATATAATTTTTATTACACTCTATTGTTTGATCACGTAGTCTACTCTAAATTTAAAAAAGTGACAATTTTTTGATTAACAGGTGACTTTCCGCGATCCTGAATCAGCTAATAGGGCTTGTGCTGATCCAAATCCTCTGATTGATGGAAGAAAGGCAAATTGTAATATTGCTTCAATGGGGCGGCCTCGACCATCACCACCAAGAGGTACACCTTTTTCTTTTATTTTTTTATTTTAGTCGACTCTGATTTTATTGAGAGACGGACGAACTTGATTGTTTTCATTTGCAGGCAGAAATCAATTGGGAAACCCATATCATGGAGGTGGAGTAGCACAGGGTGGATCGTCATCCTATACGCCAATACCTCCGCCTCCTCCACCGCCACCACCGCCTCCTCCGGTCATCTATCCACCTTATGGGTAAGTTTTACTTGTCGAAATTACAACATTGAATATGGTCCATACGACATTACTATAGAAAAAGAAAAAAATATTTAAATAGCTGGCATGCAGTTGGTCTTGGCAGATGACAATAAATAATTTATGACATAAATGAGTTAAAATTGTCAGCTACAGATGTTAATTTTATGCCTTTTTGACCAGATAAATTACAAAAATATAGATACATAAATAAGAAAATTTATGAAATAACAAAAAGTTAAAAGGGTAACCAATTATATCACCAACAGAGAACATTTGATTTGAGTAATTTATTTTGGGAAGATACAAGAGCATGGAAATTAAAACTTCCAGATTTATACATATAAAAAAAAAGTACATTTTTTTTTGTGTGCATATTTAAGTATGTGGTCCTAGGCAAAAATAAAAAATTAAAAAAAAATCACATTGCTGGTTATAATTTAAGACATCTAATTTGTGTCACGACACGAGAGAATAATAATCATGTTTTTATAAATCGATCAACAGTAATAATAGATTGTACGATTTCATAAAAAAAATAATTAGTACAATACAGAAACATAGTATTCTTAATCGCGATGGATATTATCGGTGTAAGATTAAAATGACCAATAATAATTCAAGTAATAGTAATAATACAACCTAAGTTAGGAAATTGTAAAACTTGTATACAACGAGCCACCCTGGCTGTTGGTAAGAATAAAGTTTTGAATGAGTGACTTTGTTTTTTGGCCGGCTTCAAATGCACTACTATTTTTTTAACCCAATTATTTAATTCCTACTGCTTTGAAATAGTATTATGAATTTGTCCAATAGTTTGAGAACAAGACAACTCGATATATTTGTTATCTCGGTATTTTCTTGTATCGGATATTCGAATAATTTCATATATGTTTCTTTTTAAACCCTAATGAATTCTGTCTAGTCGAGCGTACACATATATGATACCTAGTCTTGTCAACATTTTAAGAAATTGTCCTTTAATTCGACATGCATGTAATGAGTTAGGTGCAATGCAGTTGTAACTCAATTCTCGGATCCATCACAGTGCAAGTATTGATGTATATTTATTAATTTTAGAACCACCATGGCATGGTTGGTGATTAATTTGGTGTACATAATTAATTAAATCTGATTATAATCGATCCAGTTCTCCATTCTAGCCACGTAATCAAAGATTTTTTTTTTTTTTTTTAAATTCTCTCTCAATTCAAGTATGTTTACTGTTTCAGGTATGCCACATACCCACCTGATTATGGATATCCTCAGGTTAGCTAAATCAATTATTTTACATAATTATCAAACGAAGTATCGAAAAATAATTTACGTAGTCGAAGTAAATTTTGGTTGGACAGACTGTGTATAACCCTCATGTTCAGCAAGCACAATATTATCATCAGTTATATGGGAGTTCATCGTCGGCCATGGCCAATCCATATTACTACGGATATTCCATGCAAGCAAGGGGGGCATTTTCTGTACCCCAGGCGCAACGTATCCAAGGACAGTCTTATTTGTACTATCCTACGCAGATGGAGGGCTCCACTCCCACCTATCCTCCCCCTCCTCCTCGTCTGCCTTTACTACAGTCAACAAGACGTCCTTTGTCATCTCCTACTGGTAATCATCCTTTTACTTATTGAGTTATATCTATAGCAAATATATTTTTAGGTATGCCACTAGGCCGGGTTAAAACTCGGATCAATCGGTTCGTTATATTCATCAGACGATATCAATGTTTTAAAACTTGATATAGTTGTTGAAATGGAAAGGATAAACGGCCAAAAGGTAAAAAAAGAAGTTAAACCGACGTCATATCAATATCAAAATACTAAGATTCTAATACTCAGTATTCTTAACAACATGGCATGATATATGTCATTGAACATTGACATAGTTGTCATTGAACTGATTGGTTAATCGAATATCATTTCGATTCTTTTAAGATACAGTTGTTTCAGTTTGCAACTAAATCGTTTCTTGGGTCAATTCTCGATTTTACCGGTGCGAGACGAGTCCGATTTTTTAACTAGACTAGATGGTATGAGTGATACTTTTGGTGTAATTATTTAACCATAGTTAATACATGGATCTTTATTAATAAGGACACATTAGATTTTGAGGTGGGGGTGGGTTGGGTTGGGTGGGAGGGTTGATGGTATGAAAAAGGAACTGTATGACCATGTGATATGAGCTGTTATTTATTTAGGGGTGACCCATAGATGGGTCAATGGAAAGTCATATGCCAGAGAGGCAGCACTGTATACTTACAAAAGTACTGGACACTTCTGACGTTTCAGTTTGATGCAGTGCCTCTTTCTATTCAGGCCCACTCTCGTGTTAAAGATTCTACACTCAAAATTGTCAATAGACTTCTTTCTTTTCTTTTAGCTAAAATGTGAGTCGCTTGCTAGCCTAAGATGATTAGGCTGGCGAATTAACCTATACGGGTCGATGAGCAGCTCGCTTCATTTAACATTTATTAGAGTTTCACATTGACTGATAATATTTACACTATCCACTTAAAAAGGTAAGGATATTCCTCTCATAACAAGCCGATTTTGTTAGATTGAGTTAGGTCCTATATCTTTTCTAATATGGTATTAGAACATGCCCAATTTTGTAATGTTGAGTGTACCCAATATAGATTTGTTCACAATTGTTTGACATGGTCCTCGCTGTGCATGAGGGGACGTATTAGAGTCTCATGTTGACTGATGTTATTATACGATCCACATAATAAAGTGAGGTTAATCATCCCCTAATAAGTCGATTTTGTTAAGTTGAGTTAGACCCAATATCCTTTCTAATAACCCCTAGTTTAAAATTTCGTAAAATTGGTAAATTGAGCATTCAAAATTTGGACCTAAACAAAGAAGGTGAAGTCCTTGTACAGATAATTTATTTTCATGTTACTTACTGACAAAATGAATTAATAACTTTATGTCGTGTTCGTTGCGGAGCGAAAAACATGTTTGTAGTGATTAATGAGTTAATGTCGTGTTTCGGTGCAGATTCACAGGCACCTCCTCCTCAAACCTCAACAGAAACAGAAGCTGGTCCTGCTACTTCAGGAAGTGCGACTTCTTAAGAAACTCACTGCAGCATAAATTTCATGGTCAAAACTGCTTATTTGTACAATTTTTTTTTTGAAAATTAATATTTGTTCTCCACTCTCAATAATTGTTTGCACCAAAATTTTTATTCAACCCACTAACAATTTAAGCATGCAGCTATGGAATTATAATTAATGCATGCCAATTTTAAACAAGCATTGTTGTTAGCACAAAATGTAGCTTTGCAATTTCATTTAGGGCATGTTTGATAGCATTTGTTTTTCCTAAACTAAGAATTTATTTTCCATTTTCTAGCTTTTGTCTTGTTTGATGGGAGAAATTTTCCATGGAAATCATTTTCCCACTTTCCTTCAAACGTGCACTTTTCCCTGCTTTTTGATGAATTTCATTTCCCACCTTTTAGGTGGGTTTTGGTACCATTGTAAAAAGAACTATCACGTTTATTGACAATTTTCTTGCAAAATAAAGTCAAACGAATGGTATTCGGTATGATAATTTTTTAAAATTTTTTTGGTAATTGGAACAAATTCTAGACCTAATAGTAAAAAAATTATCAGTTTAATGGACAACTTCCATGAAAAACAAAGTCAAACGGATACCAAACTTTTAACAATTTTCATGTGAAAAATTATACTAATCAAACACAATTAATTACAATTTCCTGTAAAACAAATTTTAGGCAATTCAATTCTCTGTAATTCATTTTCTTTCCACCCAAATTCTACATTTGCAATCAAACGGACCCTTATATTCTTTCTTCGTGAGAAAAAAAAAATCACCAAATTTCCGTGACTTTATCCGATTTTTTTATAGTTAATTAGTTATTTAGATTTTCAAGAAAAATATATGCTATATATGTAGTACCGAATAAAAATACTAGGAAGGACAAGTCGATAATATTGTAACAGATGATATTAGAGATTTATGTCAATTTTGATATACGTAGGCTAAGTGCTCTATGAAGAGAGCAATATACTAACAAGACACTGAGTTAAATTTTTAACACATACAAACCACCTCTAGAGTTCGGCATAAATCGATAATGGTCTTGTAATTGTTCCACGACGAGTATTTAAAGCCTTTAATTATACGAGATTTGTCCCGCGCATAAAAGTGTGAAGCCAAACGGCCTTTTAATTATAGTACAATTGATTAATCATGATTCGTCAGCAAAAATTGGCTGAAGCCTTCCTCTGAACCTTTAATTAATGCTTGTTTGGCTAATTAAGCTAAAACTTTATTGATAAGGCAATAAGTAATATGCTTTAAAAATACACTATGTTTTTGTCTAGTCAAATTAAAAATAAGTAGTTCTTTAAAATTAATCTCAGTGCTACTTTTAAATAAGTAAAACTAATCGGTCTATAATAAATATCAAAATTGGGTGCCACCATATTAGTACAAAAAAATGAAAAACAAATTAAAACTTTGAAATTAATTTAGCATACTTGCTTAGTCCTAACCGGGACGGGACTCCTTTGAAAGTCCTCTTGCTTCGTCCTTTAAGGGGAAAAAAAAAATTCAAATTTATATAAATTGTCGTTTATTACCTCTTCAACTACTTCCAAGTTCCAAGTGTATACATGCGTTCGGATAAGCTAAAAAGTTGTTTATAAGTTTTTTTTTATTAAGTAATTTCATCTACACAACTTTTATCCATAAATTATCCACACATTTCTTGAAACCAATACTATCCCTTTTAATTCCTAATACTATGTGGTTACTGGCAAGAATATATTAAATCCATCATTTGAGCTCATAATAAATTAAAAGTTGTTCCTGCAACTTAGCTTAGAGTCTTGAGCATTTTACCAAGACGTGCTCTATGACATTATGGCATTAAAATTTCCCAGGTTTAACCAATGCTTAGCTCAGGACCTCAATACTTGTCATATTTGATTTAGTATTACTATCTTGTATGAATCGAGAGTCATGATGATATCATTAATGAACGTCTTTATCATAATATTTTTGCTTCTTACTTTAGTCAATTAACAATAATTTTTCCATGGACTTCTGAAAAATCCTTTTGATGTACTGTTAATAAGGAAATTTTGAATCATGGATACATGATCCTTTACATGTAAAACCTATGGCTCAAGCAATTTGGAATTCTCAAATAAGTTACAATCTTGCGAGAGCGCGTTAAACAATAAAATCTACATTGAATAGTTACTGAAATATAAATTAATGTATAATGGTTTGAACTACCCCTCTTAATAAGATAAATCTTTTAATGTTAGCACAGCTGAATTAACAAATTAAATTCCAAATGGCACACTCAAGTTTTACTGGCACACTCACGTTTTACTGAATCAGGTGCACCAAAATTCCACTCAGCTCTCTCTCTCTCTCTCTCTCTCCTCCTAGTTGTTGGACCACCCTTAAATTATGGATCACCATTAATTCCTTTTTTACCTGTACAACTTAGATTTAACATCTAGAATATTCTTTACTTGTATAAATTTTACCTCATCTTCATTTGTACTGTATTTGAGCATTAAGCTGATTAATATATCTTTTTACAAAGTTTAACTTGATATCAGAGCCACAATGGCAAACACCAATAATGTTGGAACTAACAGTCAGCAAGCTCAATCAACTTCAGTAGCTAACACAGTGGTATCTCCAATGCTGGGAGGTAACCATTTCACTTCGTTTGGTGTGACCCTCACTCAAACCCCTTCCATCAAACTCGACAGAGACACCTATCTCCTATAGAAGAGCATGATTCTACCCATCATCAGAGGCCACAATCTAGAAGAGTTTTTATTGGGAACCAAATTATGTCCCTCTGAATTTACCAGCACTCGGATTATAGGAGAATCAGGGATTAGTATAGAGATGACATCTAATCCATAATTCAGTTAGTGGAAATCCATCGATCAGCTACTCATGGGATGGCTCTATGCAACAATGACTCCTGACATTCCCTTGAGAGTTATGGGATCTACAGACTCTCATAAACTATGGACTACAATAAGTGATAGCAATGGCATTGAGAACAAATCAAGGATTACCTTTCTCATTGGTGAACTGCAGAGAATCAGGAAAGATAACCTGAGTATTGATCAATACTTGAGCAAGGTAAAACTCCTTGCCAGTAATCTTGAAGTTGCTGGGAAAGTCATACCACTTACAGATTTGGTGACTCAAATTTTGGCTAGCCTATATGAAGAATATACACCCATTGTTGTCCAAATTAATAGCAGAGATTCTATATCTTGGAAAGAACTTCAATCCACCCTTATGACTTATGAAAGTAGATTTGATCACACCAACACAATTAAGAATGAAATGCCAGGTATCAATCTTAGTCAATCATCTGCAAACTTCACTCAAAGGGCTCCAAACAATCACTATTCTGGCAGAAACTACAACTCCTTCAATGGTGGTAGATCATACACCAGTAACTTCAAAGGTGGTAGAAGATGAGGCAGACACAGAGGCAGATCAAACTTCAATCAACCACCTATGTGTCAAGTCTGTGGAAAGGTTGGGTATAAGGCTAATATCTGTAATTACAGATATGATGAGAGCTACAATGGATCCATTGCTTCACATCAAAGCAACTTCAGAAACCACACTCCTTTAGTTTTTGTTGCCTCACCAGAAACACTAAATGATCCAGCATGGTTCGCTGATACAGGAGCCAACAACCATGTCTCATCAAGTGCAGAACATCTCAGTCAGGCTAGTAAGTACTTTCGTAAGGAAATAATCATGGTTGGTAATGGAAGCAAACTCAATATTTCTCACATAGGCACATCCAAAATGCTAATCATGACTGATAAACATTTTCTTCTAGATAAGTTTCTTCATGTTCCTGGAATAAGGAAAAATCTTATAAGTGTTTCACAGCTCACCGCTGATAATCACGTCTTTATGGAGTTTCACTCTAGCTATTGTTGTGTTAAGGACAAATCAACGAGGAAAACGATGCTATATGGAAGGCTTAAAAAAGGGTTGTACTATCTGGAACCTCCAAACATCTATCCTACATCACAGTCAAAGAATCCAAACTCATCATATTAGAATAATTCCTGCAATTCAATGTTTTTAGTTGTGTCAAATAGAGTCAAGAATCACGAGTCAAATAGCTCCCTGATCAATGTTTGGCACAGGAGATATGGACACCCATCTAGTCAGGTGATGTCCCAAGTTCTCAAAGATTGTAATCAAAACTTGAAAATGAATGAACACAAGTTTTTCTGTGATTCCTGTCAGTATGGAAAATCACATCTGTTGCCTTTCAACACATCAAGTTCACGTGCTAAAGCTCCTCTTGAACTCATCCACATAGACATATGGGGACAGTCACCTATCCTCTCTACGTTTGGTTTCAAATTTTACATAGCCTTCCTTGATGATTTTAGTCGACACACCTAGATATATCCAATAAAAACAAATTTGATTCTCTGAATATCTTCATTCAATTCCAAAAATTTGTTGAAAATAATTTTATAAAAGAATTAAAATCCTCCAATCTGATTGGGGAGGAGAATACAAAAGTTATGTCAATCATGTCTCACAATCAGGAATAGAGTTTAGACATCCTTGCCCATACACGTTACCTCAAAATGGAAGAGTTGAAAAAAAACACCGTCACATTGTAGAAACTGGTCTAACTTTACTTGCTCAAGCCAAAATGCCACTAAAATACTGGGTGGAAGACTTCCAGGCTGCTACCTTTCTCATTAATAGAATGCCCTCACAAGTCCTTCAAATGCAATCCCCTTATCAGTTGCTGAACAATAAAAGGGCTGACTACACATTCCTTAAAGTATTTGGGTGTTCATGCTATCCTTGCCTATGATCTTATCAAAGGCATAAATTCAGCTTCCACTCAGTCAAGTGTGTCTTCCTTGGCTATAGTTCATCTCACAAAGGCTACAAGTGTTTCTGTCCTACTGGCAAAACCTACATATCTAGACATGTTATCTTCAATGAGTCTGAATTTCCATTTGAGTCAATCTTCCTTGCAGTCATATCCTACTCTCAGTCACAACTTCCA